CTCTCCCCACTAGACCCCCACTTCCCTCCCAGAGGCAGGGACAGAACCCCGGAGGCCTGGCTCCCAGCCCCCTCCCAGCAGAGAAGCCAGGGAGTGAATGGACCCTGGAGACTGGACTGCGTCACTGGCCTGTCACCCGCTAGAGAGCAGAGCTCTGGGCCCCCAGGGGCTGGGGTTGCTCTGTGTCTCATGCTGTGGAGCTGGTGGTAGCAGGTGAGAGGCCTGGCTCGGCGTCCCCGCTCCAAGCCCCACCCCCATCCAGTCCCTCGCGGGGGCTCCATGCTGATGGGGCGCTCAGAGCCAGGCTCTGTCCTGAGCTCTGGGCCCAGCAGAGGGACGCCCGGCTGCGGAGCGGAGACGGCACAGGTGACCGGTATAATATGGAGCTGCTGCCGAGGGACGCTGGACTGGTGTCGGGGGTTGGAGGCTGCTCAGGCCTAGCACAGGGCTGGGGTCGCTCAGCATAGCATGGCTGGGGCCTGGTCAGTTGGCTGGTGGGACTGACCCGGGACTGGGGCCGGACTGGGGTTGCTCCGGTGGCAGCGGTGGGGCTCCGGGTTCTAGCTGGCCCGGGGGCAGGGGAGGGGTCCCCTCTCGGCCAGTTAAACAGGCTCATTCTGCCCAAGGAGCCGCTTCCTTGGGGGAGCCACAAAGGGATTGGGCTGGGTCGGGAGAATGGCTGGTGTTACTATGGGTATGTGGGGCCCAGACGCCGGGAGAGAGACACCAGCAGCCAGCGAGGTAGCAACCGGCACCAGCAATGCAGGGACCCAGCGAGCGGGAGCCAGTGGAAAGGGACCGGTGGCCGAGCTGTATCATCGAAGGGGCCAGGCAGAGAGTTGGGAGGGAGAAAGTCCCGTTGAGAAGGGACAGAGATGGCAGGAACAGGAGGAGGCAGACAGAGGAAAGACAGAGGCATGAGGGGGAAAGTTAAAGGAAGAACCGGGCAGTGAAACACGAAGAAAAAAGAGTCTCTACGTTACCTAACCAATTGTTAGAAAACTACAGGAGAACTAAAGCACGAATGAAATGTGACAGAAACCAGCTGTGAGCAAAGAGAAACGGGCTGAAGAAATGAGGAGGAAGTGAGCTGTAGCGATAGTTAAGAAAATAGTGCGGACAAAATGTCTGCAGGACCGCACAGCACCTTCAGGTGCAGCAACAGAAATATCGGGACATCTGGTCACTATAAAATCGGGATATCTGGTCACTCTGCTCAGAACAGCAAACAAAGATGTCACAGAATGAACCATCCTAAGAAATTTGCCGGCAAAGTCGGGACGTACAGAGGCTGAAAACAGAGAAACCGCGAAGGGAACCTAGAGCAGTGGGGTTCTGGTCTAGTTCACTTTACTTTCTAACTCTAGATTCTGGGATTGCATGAACGTAAAACTGACTTGATGGGGAACAATTCATTCTGATGATGGTACAGTAGAAGCTCCGAGTTACTAACTGACCGGTAACCACACACCTCATCGGGAACCGGAAGTGCACAATCAGGCAACAGAAGAGACCAAAATAATAATAATAATAAAGCCAATACAGAGCAATTCTGTGTTAAACAAAGATCTACAAAATCAAGGGAAAGTTTAAAAACAGCTTTGGCAAGGGAAGGAAACTGTTTCTGTGCTTGTGTCATTTAAATGAAGATTGTTCAAAGGAGAATTTTAATTCAGGCGAGGTCAGCAATAGTTCCCAGTGTGACCCTGCACAGCAGTTCCTGCTAAACCAGCAAACTCTGATTCTCCTTCCCCAGCTGATGGAGATAAAACGCAATTGGCCTCTAGGTCCCCTCGGCCTCTCCTTGCCCTACCCCAGCCACCCCTCCACGGGCTCCTTGCAGGTGGATCTGCACCATTGCCCTGCTGAGGGGTGGGGGACCCCTTGTCTCTTGTGTCGCTAGCCCAACTCTCTCAATCTTGGATTCAGGGGAAAAGCATCCAGGAGACTCTCCCTGCAGGCCCCTGTATCAGCCTTGTCACTGGGGCCGGGCTGTGTGGACAGGGCGCAGTGACCAGCCTGTCTCCTTCTGCCTGCAGAGCCCAAACCCAGCATCTCCCTGCACCCCAGTGGGAGAGCCGTGACCGTCCGGTGTGAGTGTCGGTGTCACGGAGCGAGTGAGTAAAGTTAGAGACCCGGCTGCACGGCGCTCAATGGACCTAACGCAGGGAACGTGGCTGAGTTTCCCATCCTCAACACGAGCTGGAGAGACACAGGGATCTACAGCTGCCAATATAGCACCAAGTGGGACCTGCCCGTCCCCGCTCCAAGCCCCACACCCAGCTGGGCCCTCAGGGGGGTCCTGGCCCCCCGTGGGATGCTCAGAGCCAGGCTCTGCCCTGAGCCCTGGGCCCAGCAGAGGGGAAGCCTGCAAGGGGACCAGGAAGGAGTCACTGGAGGTTCCCCAGCCAAGGGAGAGCAGCAGCCGCTGGAGGTTCTGGGCTGAGGGAGGGGGGAACTTGGCTCAGCCATCGACCCCTGTGATATCTGCCCCGGGCCCTGAGCTGCGCAGACCCATGGCCCCGGGCATGGGCTGGGGAAGGGACAT